TTAAAAATCATTTTATTGGGAGCTTGTGCAACCCTTATCACAATCCATACATAAATCCATTGTGTCAAGCACATTTGTACATATGTTCCCATCATGGTTTTCAAAGCGTTTTCTTTCTACTTGAGCCCTTGGTATCAGCTTCTCATTTTTTTCTCCTCCTTTCCTCTCCATCCCGCCCTCATGAACCCTTGATAATTTACAAATTATTATTTTGTCATGTCTTGCACTGTTCGATGTCTCCCTTTACCCACTTATCTGTTGTCCAATTCCCTGGGAGGGGATAATAGGTAGGTCATTGTGATCGGTTTACCCTTTCTTCCCCCACCTTCCCCTTCCCCTACTGGTATGGCTACTCTCAATATTGGTCCCGAGGACTTTATCTGTCCTGTATTCCCTGTGTTTCCAGCTCTTAGCAGTACCCATGTATATGCTCTGGTCTAGCCAGATTTGTAAGGTAGAATTAGGGTCATGATGGGTGGGGGTAGGGGGTGCCTTAAAGAACCAGAGGATAACTGTATGTTTCATCAGTGCTATACTGCACCCTGACTGGCCCATCTTTTCCCCGTGACCCTTCTGTAAGGGGATGTCCAATTTCTTACAGATTGGCTTTGGGCTTCCACTCCACACTGCCCCCCTCATTATGATTTTTTGCTCTGGGTCTTTGATGCCTGATACCTGATCCCCTTGACACCTCATAATCACACAGGCTGGTGTGCTTCCTCCATGTGGGCTTTGTTGCTTCTCAGCTAGATGGCCACTTGTTTATTTTCAAGCCTTTAAGACCTCACATCAGTAGTTCTCAACCTTTCTAATGCCACAACTCTTTAATACAGTTCCTCATGTTGTGGTGACCCCCCCCCCCAAGCATAAAATTATTTTCGTTGCTACTTCATAACTGTAATTTTGCTTCTGTATGAATCGGGTGACCCCTGTGAAAGGGTCATTTGACAGCCAAAGGGGTTGTGACCGCAGGTTGAGAACCGTTGCCCCAGATGTTATATCTTCTGATAGCCAGGCACCATCAACTTTCTTCACCACATTTGCTTATGCACCCATTTTGTATTCAGCAATCATGTCAGGTAGGTGAGTATCACAGAATGTGGGATTATTAGAACAAAGTGTTCTTGTGTTGAGGGAGTACTTGAGTAGAGGCCCAATGTCCAACAGCTACTTTAATACTTAACATATAAATACATGTGCATGGGTCTATTTCCCTATCCTTATATATAAATATATTTACATCCATACATGCCTGCATTTATACCTCTATAAGTGTCCTTTGCCTCCTAGTTCTTTCCTCTATTTATTTTTACTTTCCTTTTGTTCCACTATTGTGCACAGCCTTCATTTGGGTTTTAGTAATTCCTCTCGATTACATTGCCCTTGATCAAGCGTCACCAGTCATCCTATGCCCTCCTCGCCATCGATTTTTAAAAAATTATATTTATATTTTAAAAATCATTTTATTGGGAGCTTGTGCAACCCTTATCACAATCCATACATAAATCCATTGTGTCAAGCACATTTGTACATATGTTCCCATCAT